TGAATGCAAAGCATCTACTAGACGAGCAGTTAGTGGCTTAAACTACTTTGCTGCTAATGGTAGCGAGGCATTCAACAATATTATTGAATTAATTAATGGTCTTACTCTTGACACAAGTGAACGTCATCGCCTTGTCAATAACATAAAGAAAGGCAAACAATATTTAAAAATGGACTTCAAAGCTAATGTGGCACGTACATCACGTGTTTTTGATCATTGTATATGCTTTTCGCTAAGTGATCCCACATCTAATTCTTTTTCAGAGGCATGTTCTGACCATGAACATGATCAAGTATGTTCTGAGTGCTTGTATCTCGCACAAGCATTACAAGATACCAAGCAAGCAATCGAAAATAGTAAAGACAAGGAAGAAGAAGTTAAACGGAAAATACACAAGTTTACTCTTGCTTATGATGCTATTCAAGCTTGGAAATCCCATCAATTAAGATCAATTAATCAAGACCTTGAAAGAGAGAGTGTTTTAGATGTTTTAGGTGAAGGTGCAATTTATTTGAATTTAGATTTTGCCATGAAGTAAGTATAGCTAAATATTTTTAACCTTTTCTCTGCTACGTAGCTTGTAAAAATTTTTGCTGTTGGGAAAACTTAGTCCAGAGATGTCAAATATAAAAATTTATGATATTGAATAGTATCTACTACGATTTATATTTTTATACCGTAAAATAAGAATATATGATGGAATATAAATTGAAGGCGAATTTTGTATTGAAACTCAGCGTTGCATCGAGTAAAAAAAAAAGAAAAAAAACTAGAATGTTCTGAATTACAACAAAACGAATAATTGTAAAACATTTCTGTCAAAGTTTTAAAGAAAATTCAGTAATAAAGTTGCTTTTTCTTTACTGTAGATGGCTTCCTGTTAAGTATAGGGAAGATCAAACAAATTTTTTTGGCAAGCGAGGAATAACGTGGCACATTACTGTCGTTTCACGTAAGAAAAAACAAGATTTGAACAATAGTCCTCGGGTTCATTGTGATCAAGAACAAGATGAATTTATGGTTGGGAATCGAAAACAAACTCTTCTTGAAGAAGATGATGAAGAAGAGAGTGAAAGCGGATGTAATTCTGAAAAAGGTAAATAAATAATACATCTGAATTTTTTTTTCATTTCCTAGTAATATGTATGTTTCTTATACTTTCAGCTCAATGTGCTCTAAAAAGTTATTTATTTTATTTATTCATACGTTTTAAGATCATGCTTTGCGTTTTACAAATTTCTTTTTGCCAAAAAAATTCTTACTGTTGACTGTTTTTGAAATGACTGTAATATGCGATCATTCTATAAAAGTATTTCGTACTACACATTCAACTTTCTTCTATTAGTAAAGCAATCATGAGATCGAAAGCTCATGGTCTAAATATGCGGAACACTCTTGCATTAAAAAGAAGTATTAGAAAGACTTCGAGCATCATTAAGATAATTTCGAAACTCTTATTCTAATTAATCTGTTATAAACATATTGAGATGATCCTCATGCTATGGTGGAACTCTTAGCTATTTCAACGATAAATACTCTCTTTGATGTTATGCCTGTGCAAATTGTGAGTCTTCAATAAAACCCTCGATAATGAAACATAGTAAATTATTTGGATATCAGCCATTAGTATAGAAACGTAGAGTATGGTCAGTCTTTCGTAGACATTAATAATATATGTAAATCTCGTAAAATACATTTATTTTTGTTATTTTAACTCCAGATTCGAACGATTTCGAACATACAGTCTTTGTCCATGTGATCGATCAATGCTCACAAGATAGTAAACTTGTCGTCGCAATTATTACTGATATATTGTCAAGATTAAAAGTACATGATAGTTCAATTGGGCAAGCTTGCATACGCTGTGATAATGCTGGCTGCTATCATAGTGCTTATACAGTGTTATCGATGCCAGCTGTTTCCGAGAAGTGTGGAATAGCAGTACGAAGAATGGATTTCGCTGATCCTCAAGGTAGTAAAGGTAAAATGTGGAAAAATGGAAGCTATTTTATGTAAATGTTTACTGACTCATTTAGGTTCTAGTGATAGATATGCTGCTATTATAAAATCTCATGTTAGACGTTATCTAAATGAGAAACACGATGTTACAAATGCAGAGCAATTTGTCGAAGCTTGTTTATCCTATGGAGGAGTAAAAAATGTCAATGTTGTCGAATGTCAATTCAAAACAGTTCATCAATCCCCAAGATTTCAATTAAACAACATCAAACAGTTTAGAAATTTCTGCTTTGAACGTCATGGCATACGAGTATATCGAGCATGGGATGTTGGGGAAGGCTTTTTGATACCGTACAACAAATTAATCAATGGAGTAAGATATCGAAAAGCATTTAATATTTCACTCAAAAATCAAATAACTCATTTGTTTCAAATATTTTTATTTGCTATAACTTGAGGAAAAAGTCATTTCCGAAACCACTACACAATATATAAGACTGAAAGGCCTCCATAAGTTTCGAAAACGTTTGAAAAATTTTAAAAATTCTAACTGGGTTACGTAATGTTTTTGAGAATTTCGAAAATTTCGAAGAAGTTCAAGAATTTTATCGCACTTTAAGAAGCCTCAGAAGACTTTCCATGGCTATGTTAGCTTGTTATCAGCAAACGATGATTAGGACTATAAAACTTTATGGAAAATATAGCTTGCACTTTTATTCTTTCCACTGAACAGTATTTTTTAATCTTTTTCAGAAAGTCATTATCGGATCACTCTATCTAATTAAACCATCACCTGAAATAATCTTCGGTTCATCTGTTAATAATAATCTGTCAGGTTCTATAGATGTCAATCCTAGTGGCGAATGTACTGAATCGGTCAATGAAGCTGCAAACTTATTTGAATGTCCAGAGGAAACATGTGTATCTTCGTTTGTGAAATACGGAAATTTACTTAGACATCTTGCAGTTGGTAATCACCGTCATATGCCCGAAAAAGTAACTTTATTGGATATGGCAAAAAAGATATATCATTCAAGATTGGCAACTTCTGACAACAAAAGAGTTATTTCGTTATCTTCAAATGATGCTGTGTTCGATTCGGACATTGGTGATCAAGTGTCCGAACTCACTGTCGGATGGGCACTTCCAGTGATACGTCCGCCTGCTAGATTTACTATTAGGCAAAAGAAATTTTTAGATGTGAGTAGTATTTAGAAACAACTCCTCTATACTCTATCTTCGTTTTACGTATTCCTCATTACGTTTCATAGTTTTCTTGTCTTATGTAGGAAAAATTCAACGATGGAATTTTACATGGTCGTTTCTGGAAACCAGAAACCGTTGTCAGTGAAATGCAAAATGCTAAATCACCACAAGGAAAATTTATCTTCGATATCAACGAATGGTTAACAACCAGCCAGGTACGCAGTTACTTCAGTCGTATCCGATCAATCACCACCCCGAAGAACGCTCAGCTATCACCTTCTGTTGTTTCAAACTGTTCAATTTATGACGAAAACCAAGAAGAGGAACGAATTTTGGACGAAGATGCTAATGCTGAAGTTGGAAATGTATTTGATATTTTTTCTATCTGCAAGATCTTTTCTTTCTCTAGGAATCTCTCAAGGATGATATTGCAGTGCACGAAGCAATCGAAAGAATAACATTCTTGAAGAAAACAAACGAAATACCAGAAACAGCAAGTAAAGAAAAACGTCCATTATCATTAATACAAAATGAACCAAGTACACCAAAGCGTTCAACTACCTCACACAATCAAAAATATTAAAAGAATGCGGCAGAAATATATTCGAGCTAAAGTTTGTTTATAGGAATATCTCTGAAATCAACTGAGCAACGTGCTAGCACGCTTTAACTTCAACAAACCAAAATTTCTTTTCACATTTCAAATAGTTTTTACTGAAGTCTACAAGAAAACATCATTGAACATAAAATTCATTCTATTCATACATACCCTGAAGTTGTATTCGAGAATAAGAAAAAGCTTGCACTGATAAACTGCA